CTTAGTCTCAGGGGTTTCACCAGTCTCTATCAGACCAGTAGCCTGGTCTTTTTTTATGATTTTGAATTTTGTTCCACATTTTTCTCTCACCTTATTCAGGATCTCCTATACCTATCCCTTTCTGAGTGGTTGACAATTCTAACCAGGAACCATTTAGTTCCTCTGGTCTCAGGGTCATGTAAGCTGAGGATTGCATGTTCCACCAGTCCCTTGGACTAATTCTTTCCATGTGTATTTGATTTTCTTCATTCTTCTTTGCTCTGGATGAGGAAAGACCAATTGCTTCATCTTAGATGGCCACTAGCAAGCTTTTAAGACCACTGATGTTACTCACCAAATTAGGATGTAAAGCAATGTTTTTGTGTAGTACATTATGTCAATTGAGCTTAATTTTCCCTGAGACCATGGTCCTGAGCCTGTGGGCCCAGCAACTCACTGCCTCAAGGTGTTTGACTGTGGCTAAGAAGTTATCATAACTTTGCCCCATTAGTTCTATTATAGCTATGGATGTTTTTATAGCACGTGTAAATATATATGTAGAAACACCATCTGCCAAACTTATATATGGTCGTGGGTATATTCCCTTTTGCCGAGCCATACCTGATCATTTAGCCTGTCACCATCTATCATCCACCTGTAGATTAATGTTTACTACTGGTAATGCAGTATTGTGTGTGTAGATGTGTTTTCATTTGTTATCTGTTCTTTACCTCTTGTATGTCTGTACCTTCTTTACTTTTTAAAAGTTTATTGAGATATAGTTCATATACCATACAGTTCACCTACTTAAATCATACAATTGAGTGATTTTTAGTTTACTCACAGAAATGCACAACCACCTTCTCAGTCAAGTTTAGAACATTCTCATAACCTCAAAAGGAAGCTAGCCATTAGCTATCACTCTCCCACCTCCATCCCTAAACAACCACAAATCTACTTTCTCTTTACATGTCTCTATTCTGAACATTTCATGAAAATTGAATCATATAACATATCTTTTCTGACTGGCTTCTTCCACTTTGTAAAACGTTTTTTAAGATTCATCTGTATTGTAGCATGCAACTTGTATTTCGTTCCTTTTTATTGCTGAATGATATATTATTATATAGATATACTTCATTTTGTTTCTCCATCGGTCTGTTGATGGCATTTGGGTTATTTTCACCTTTTGGTTTTTCTGAAAAATTATGCTATAAATACTTATGTACAAGTATTTGTATGAACATAGGTTTCATTTCTCTTGGGTATATATCTGAAAGTGGAATTGCTAGGTCATATGGTAATTCTGTATTTAACCATTTGAGGAACTGCCAAACTGTTTTCCAAAGCAACTATACCATTTTACATTTCTTTCAACAGTATGTGAGGGATCTAATCTCTCCACTTCCTTAACATTTATTTGACTTTTTTATTCTTGCCATCTTGTTTTTGTTGTTGTCTAATTAATTTTTGATCCACAATGATCTCATGTGACAAAATAGAATTTCTGATTTCCCTTAGGGTTTTTTAGGCCGTAATTAAAGGAGCAGATCACCTGGTCTTTCTACTGAGCTGCTCCTGAGTGGGTTCCAACCATTAGCTTTTGACTGGTTAGTAGTCATATGTCTTAGGCACCCACCACCAGAGCTTCCTAACTCATGCTATTGGGTGTGAAATACTCTCTCATTGTGGTTTTCATTTACATTTTCCTGACAGATAATGAAGCCAAGCATCTTTTCATGTAATAGTTTACTTTTAATGGCGTTCTGGGAGAAGAGATAACAAGTGGATTTGATCTACTATGTTTAACTAGAAACCTGTAACTCATTTTAAATGTGATAGGAAAAAAAAATCTGTTTTATCCTAAATATTGGAGAGCCATTATATAGCCATCTCAAGTTTTTATCAACATGTACAGTTTTTCACTCCTATAAGTTTTACATGCTGTAATTATATTTTGATTAAGGGGTTGGAAAATTGTGCACTAAAATTGCTTTGTAAGATTACTTCTTGTGTTGGGAGTGCCAGAGATTTATACAAATGACCCTTCAGATTGGAGTAAAAAGCAAATAGGAACTGACAGCCAAAGGTTATAAACTTCAGTGTTTTTAGTCACCACTCTTATGTACCTCTGTTGCAGAAATTGTTGTGTTCCTCATGATAAACATCAAAACAAAGAATTGCTCTCCAGGGCTTGGGACCATGACCTAGACACACAGCATAATTTCTAATAGAGGGGTGAGATGATGTTTGAATGGACTTATGCTCTATGATTAAAGAAAAAGTGGAGGCTTATCTGAAAATATTTAGGGTATATCATACATGCTAAATGATCATCGTGAAGGTTAAGTGATGGGCATATAGTGAGTTATATTGTTCTTTTTATGTATTTTTGAAATAAATCTTCAGAAAATGAAAGCATTGGGTCCTATGAAGACAAGAAAATAGTAAGAATACCTGGGGCCAGGTCAGATGAGTCCATTAGGACTAGAATTTAGCCATCTCCATAAAGAAAATTTAAGGAAGTTTAATTCTTTGGAGTAGGGGACCACTGAGAAGTCAGTATAACAGGAAGGAGGGAAAACGAGATCCGATATGCTGGGGTTTTTTTAAGGTTTTTTGATGAAAAAGTTCCCATCTGGTGGCTTCTGTTTTTTCTGTGAACTGTGGATCTAGCACATTCATTGAGCATGTGGAACTAACTTGAGTTGAGGCAAGTGAAACAAGATCTAAATTTCACAAGAAGCTTTGCTTTGTTTACTGATAAGTCTCACATACTTAGTACACTGTCAAACACATAAGCACTTGAAAATTATTTGTGAAATGAATGAATAATTTCCAGGTAGTGCTGGGACTGACCAGGAATTTATTATAGCACTAGTATACTTGATTATGTGATTTTTTCCAATAGTGATCAGTCATGTATCAGAAGACATATTTGGAAAACACAGAGAGATGAAATTTTTCCCAACAAGAAGGATTAAAGGAGAATGGATGGAGCTGATTTGGAGAGGAGTTTTTTGAATGTTCACATGATGGACCATGAAGGGTACTTTGGAATGGAGAAATGAAGACATGAGATTGGCAAGTAGGTGAGAAGTAGAACTAATGACTTGGTGTTCCAAAATTAAAAATTGGCAAATTGAAGACATAAGCTGCAAGAATAGAGAGATGTGGTCAAAAGGAGAAATGCCAGCTCTATGTTTCCAAATAGCAAATGTGTTGCTGGTGATAAGTTCTAAGGTGGAGCCATGACTCACCTGGAATGGAGGGTAAAGGAATCTAAGATGTACACAATGGGAGTCCAGGTATTGGCTAACCTATTCACAAGGATATTGGTGCCTCTCACTGATTCCTTCACCTACTGGTCTGGGCCCTATCACACGTTTCATCTCTCCCAGCATCTCCATAGAATCTAGATTCTTCTTGCAATCCTAAGCCTCAGATATTAAACTGTCAACGGAATGATTCTGGACAAGAAGATAGAAGTGTGACAGTAAAAGACAGCTGTAATATAAATCTATTTCATTTTTGTTTTTATTTTGATACCCAGTATTCACTTACCTTCTGGAAATATTCCTGCTCTGTGAAATTCACTCGATTCTTCAGTTTCAGTCCATGTTCCAGTGGAGTTTTCCTCCCTCCACACCCGTATTTCAAGGGTGAGTGTGTGCATAGTTTTGGTGAAAAGGTGCATTCCATGGAAGTCCATTATGAGCTTCCAAACACCTGGTGTGTGATCTAGGACTCCCTTGCACTGCATAAGCTCTGGGTGTCCTACAGGAGATCTGTCAAGGCTCCACCAAGCCCATGAAGATCAGAAAGTGGCACCTCCTTCTTGATGAGTGAACCATGTGTACATTAAAGACAAGATCTTACACATTGTCATCTAGCATGGCTGGAAAGAAGGCACCAAGATCACCTTCCCTAACAAGGGTGATGCCATGCCTGACTGCATCCATGTAGTATTGTTTTAAGGCTCAAAGACAGTCCTATGTACATTTCTGACAAAATAACATCAGTATATTCTGCAGTCTGTTCTGGTCATCCTCAAAGAAGTGTCACCTGGGTCAGACTAGGGAAGGAGGGAGCAGGAGAGAGTCATGACATAGGCATTATAGGGCATAAACTTTTCTTTCAAAAAGATGATTCTTTACTCTCTTTCACTTTTTGTACTTTTCCATTCTAACTAAATCTTTTCCTCATCACTGTGTGAGCTTAGTGCCTGCCTAGTCATCATTCTTACCTTTGACATATAGGTGAACTTTTTTCCCTGCAAAAATGCCAACAATCCATGTAGGCACTGGTGAAGTGATACCTTGGAAAGGGAATTATTTCTCTAGGGCACCTTTCCAGTGGGAAAAACTTAATGTCAAGTTCAACTATGCTTCTCCAAATGACAGGTTCTTAAGTATCACCTACCCTGTTCTAAGTCCTACCCCCAACTTTTCCAGTGTCCTTTGCAGCCATACCATCTAAGCACTCCATTCAAGGTCCACTCAGCTGTGTAAACTTATAGTCACAGATGACTTTTCCAAAAATTAAGCCACTATTTTCTGAAATATTTATTTGCCTCTGATCTGTTTCCCCTACTGCTCTAAAGGATAATGGGAAATGTATGGGCTATGATACTTTTTCATGTGGGAATGAAAGATGAGAAGTGGGAAGCAGAGACTATCCCAAACTTCATGAGGGAGGGAAGGGAGCTTGGGGGACAGGTGATTTCTATTGCTCACCAAGAGCTCCAGGGGACTGGGTGCCTTTTAGAAGCCACATGAGGCAATCAGTAGGAACTTACTAACTCCTTCCTTTCCCTAAGCACAAACCCTGGAATACCCAAAAGTCAAGCCCCAAACACATTACACATGGAAAACATCCATCTCAGAAGAAATATTTATTGAAGAGAACCAATATTCTCAAGAAGGAGTGAGTAATTTTGTGGAGGAAAATTTTCCTACTGGGAATTGTTGGGGAAGTATTTTCTTCCTGAAGAGAGGAGACAAATCTCTGAACACAGCCCCTTAGGCAGTGGGGTAGGTGGGCTGAGGCACCTGGGGGCGCCTGGAAGAGATGTAGACCTCCTGAGAAGATACGTCCTTGAATATCTTCATTTTCTGGGGTTGTCTGTTCCTGTCCTTGATCAGTCCAGCATTTGTAAGACAACTCTGGCCAGTAGAGACAGCTTCTTGGCTGCACGCCTTGGTACTTGTTTTATAGGCAGGAGCCCTGGAGTTAAAAGGATGTCCCTGGACAGGCCCTATCTGGACCTTCACTTTCCCCTTGTGCTGAGTTTCCCCATTATTCAGATGGGTACAAAGGGGCTCCTGGAGGCAGGTGGTATCTATTTCATGCCTATGCTCCAGTTTCTTTCGGCACCTTCCATCTGTCTTGAGTTTCTGACCTTGATTGGTCCCTGTGAGAACAGCTCTACCTCTCTCTGGGGCTCCACTCTGCATAGAGGCTGGCATGGAGCTGTCTTTTTCCAGGGAACTGTCCAGTCGTTTCCATTTTATCCCACCACTAAGCTGTTGCAAAAAGTGGTTCATCTTTTTTCTGAAATCACTTTCAGGAGGACACTGTCCTTTCTGTGACAGAGACTGGGAGGCCTTGCTCCCAAAGTCCTCCTTGAATGCCTTGTAATGAGCATAGTGGCTTTTTCTTCTTGTTTGAGATGTCCCCAACCCTGCATCTCCTCCTGCCAGCTCTTCTGCCTTGGTTCCCTGAAGATTCCCTCTCTTGGCAGCTGGGGGGATATTCTTATCCTGACACTTTCCTAAGGTGAGTTTAGGGACCCAGGGCTTCTGTTGCTGCTCCATGCTGATCCCTTTGTCTTCCACATGGACATGCAGCACATGGTGATCTAACATGTGCCCACTGGGCATACTCTGGGCATGTGTGGGTAAGTCATTCCACTGTGAGTCAGTGGGAGCCAAACTATCTGAAGCAGGTAACCTGTTAGTGGGGGAGCCTTGAGCCTGTCTATTTTTCCTGGCCTCCAATTTAAACTTTAATTCATTAATCAACTGCGGTTTAAGGTATGATGGATCAGAATTTTGAGAAACTGATGTTGTTGGCAATTGGGGACTTTTAGTCATTGGTTTAGTTTCTACTTCATTTGAAATCACACTTTTCCTTTGGGAGTTTCCCAGCTCTCTGGTTCTTACAGTGCTACTAGATTGTGACTGAAGACCAGAGAGGTCCTTTGCCTTGAGTATCTCCCTGGACACGCTGGCCATGGGAAAATGTTTTAAATTCCTGTCTACCATCCCTTTGCCCTGAGATATTCCTGCTGTATCCCTGGAACTTGTACTGTTATCCTTTGGCTTATGTCCAGTCCCAGTTTGACCTGTGGGCAGCTCTGGGGTATGTCTATTAGGTATTAGAGTCTTGCTCTGACTTGTTTTGTCTATGTTTCTGTGTTTGAGAGACCTTACAGGAGTCTCTCTGCCATCCTTAATTATTCGGAAGCCTTCTGTACGCTCATGATTTATGTCAGTGGGTGAGTGTCTCAGGGTCCCTTGACCTTCCATGTCTACAGGTGACATGGCAGGGAGAGAGCCATCTATGATGGGGACTGAATTTGTTATCTTGTCTCCTGAAAACATTTGACAATCTTCTGCAGGGGGCTCGCAAAAGTCAATTTTGGAGTCTGTCCCAGATATAGAGGTGGTTGATGCTGGCAAGTTGCAATAGGAACTTGTCGATTTTAAGGTTTTTATGGAGTCCAGGGCTTTGGAAGGCAGGCCCCCTTTCATCCTCGTATGAGAACACTTAACGTGGTCTCCTAGCCTCTGTTTTGTGAGTGGATCAATAAAAGGATGCTCCTGAGAAGTATTTTGGTAGGAATCCCTATCCCTTAATGGTGCCAAATTTCTGTGTTTCATTTGGGTGTGGGATATCTCAGTAAGAGGCAATGTCTTTTCGACAGCATGCCATGAACTATCCTCAGGGATCTTACCCTCGATTTGTATTTTTGAGTCATTTTCTAGTTGTTGCTGACCTAGGTTCACCCCTGAGGCCTTTGAATTATTCCATGACAGACTCATCCTATGACTTTTTGGATCTTTTTCAGAGTCAAGCTCCAGATCCATAACTGAAGACCTTTCTCGGTCTTTTGACATATGATCCTTAAAAATATTCTCTGAGTTATGTACCTGGTCCTTCCTAATGTCCTTCTCTAGGCGAAGTGATTCTAGGCTTCTTTCATAGAAGCTTCTCCTTTTTCTCAATCCATTCATTACATCTACACTGCTCCGACTCTTAAAATCTTGGATCCATGATAGTCCATAAGTGCTCTTTGATTCAGATACCTCTGGAAATTCAGCTGGAGGCTGCATTAGCGCGAGAGACTCAAGGATCCTGCGGGGCAGGCCCCACCGGTGTTGGATGAGCCTCTTTCTAAGGTGTTTTTCAAGAACTTTTTGTACTTCACTGTTGAGAGGAAAATTTCCAGGAATGATAGGTTTTGGAGGCTGGGCCAAGTAGGGTCGGTTGTGCTGAGGAAACTTAGGAGCTGAGGGACAAAAGGCTTCCTGAGAATTTTGGACAACTGAGGGTATACCCCATAATCCTTCCACTTGCTTCTGCAGCACATGCCATTCCAGGTGGTGAATTTCATCTTGGGTAAGAGGCTGTTCCTCCTCCTGGCCTTTAGTCTGGGGTGGAGAAGGTGGTAGGAGCTGGGATTGAAGGTTAGCCTGGGGCTGGACTTGAGTGAGATGCAGATTCTGGGACTCAGGCAAGGTTTGAGGCTGAATCTCAGGCAAGGACAGAGATAGGGGATGAGAAAGTAATGGGGGTTTTTTGTCTTGTGTTTGGACTGGGCGGATATTTGAAATGCTATTGAAATAGACAAAGGCTGAGGAACAGCCAGCTGAAACTAGGATAGTAGACATCAGGGACTCACTGTGCAGAGAGGGGAGACCCCAGAAGAGCTGGATGTGTTCCTGATTTACATGGTCCCCACAGGTGTTAGGATATGGGGACTCTTGATGATTATGAAGTTTATTTGGTTTGCCTTCCATATCCCAAAAGGGGATAGAGGCTGCTGAGTCATGTTTTTCTATTATTGAAGTGAAATTCTCCTTTTTCATTTCTTTTTCCTTCAGGAAATCGCCTCTCTTTTTTATCTGTCTCTCCAAGAGAGCCAGGATATCAGGGCTCAGAAGACAGAGGTTACTAGCTTCTACAGAGTTGGTTGCAAGGTTTCCCCCAAAAGAAACCTCTGATGAATAGAAGGGAAGAAGCTTTTGGTTGAAATCGCACTTTGTCAAAGTGAGGGGAAACCAGTCCTTGGCATGAGCTGGCCACGAGGAGAATTCTGAAATATTCATTGTAGAACGGTTCATGTCTGTACCTGCTGGCATATAAGGGGCCAACCCCCCAGGGCTTGCTGGAGATGAGCCCTCAGGGACAGGCTTCTGTGAGACTGCTATCAATTTAGGCTGAGTTAAATTATGGTCTGGTGGTTGTAAAGCAGACAGGGTTGGTGATGTGTAATGACAGGTGAATGAATCAGTGAGATCCATTGTGTCAGACAAATATGGTGAGAAGTTCATATCTTGAGACAAGGTGGGGTCAAGTGAGGAATTGGTGTTCAGAGACAAATTGAGATCAGGTTGTGGGATGTGATCCACTCTCTGAGCGTGATGTAGTGGGAATGGGGATAAGGCAAGTGGTTGAGGTGGAAAATGGTTCACTGGGAATGTGGAATCCAAGGGAGAAATAGGCTCTGGTGACAGAGAGTCACCCGGTGGTGAGTTTGAAAGAGTATCCACTAAGGGAGTCATCAGGTCAGGTGAGAGAGTGGAGGAGAGAGGTACAGAGGGCTCAGGCAGAAAGGCTGGTCTTGAGTCTTCTAGAGGCTGTTCTGAGGGGGCCAGAGTGGATGATTCAGTTATAGGCACTGTGGAAGCCACAGACGACACATAGGGGTAAACGTCTTCAACAGGCTCCCCAAACAGCAGCTTACCGACCTCAGCAGTTGTTCTATTACACACCTTACACAAGGGATCTGGACATAACATTTGACGAAAGCGGATGGTGTCATGATGCTGGCCCAGGGGGCTGTAGAGATAAGAGGTACAGAACTGCAGCCCAGACCAGTGCAAGAAAAGGAGAGCCTACTGTCCTAGCAGTGGTAGGGTCAACTGAAGCACACAGCCCCTTTACATGCTCCCCACATCTGTGACTTCATAATGCACCCACCCTACATCCCTTTAGGTCCCAAAGGCCTTTAATCACATTTGTTGTTGCTATGGTAACCCATACTATGACATACTAGGCTTCACTGAGTGCCTGGAATTGTGTGCCAACAACTGGTTGCTGTCAAGTCGATTATGACTCATGGTGACCCCATGTGTTCTGAGTAGAACTGCATTTCATAAGGTTTTTTCAATGTTTGATTTTTCAGAAATAGATTGTCAGACTTTTTTTTACCGAGTGCCTCTGTGTGGATTTGAACTTCCAGCCTTTCAGTTGGCAGCCAAGTGTGTTAACTAATTTTACCACCCAGGGACTCCTAGAATTGCATGAACAACCAAACCAAACCTAGTGCCGTTGAGTTGATTCCAACTCATAGAGACCTATTAGACAGATTAGAACTGCCCTATCTGGTTTCCAATTCTGTAAATGTTTACAGAAGCAGACTGCCACATCTTTCTCCTGCAGATTGGCTGGGTTCAAACTGCAGCCTTTTGGGTAGCAGCTGAGAACTTTAACCACTGAGCCACTAGGGATCCTTTAAAATTGCATAGACTATGCTAAAAGAGGGAGGAGGAAGTAGGGGGAAAACAAATCACCTTTTCAGAACAGAAAGCAGCTGTCTTGCCTTCTCTACTTCCTTCTCATAACCTCTCCAACCTGAGAAACAAGGAGAGAGGATTATATATGTAGCTGAAAGTAGAAGCATTGGCCTCATACAAGGAGTTCCTTTATGAAAGATCTTTGGGATATCAGACTCTGAAAGCTCGCTCCAAGAATCAGTAGGCAGTTCAAATCATCAATGATAATTGTTAACAAGGTAGCCATGTTTGTGCTACTTCATCATTTATAAAGTACTATTACATACATTATTCTATGTGATGCTCAAAATCAGCCTGTTAGGGACAGAGACCAGTGGTGACCTCAAAAGGGACTGTGAGCATCCAGGAAGTTAAACTGCTTTTCCAAAGTCAGAAAACAGAAGTCTGACTCCAAACCAGCATTAATCCTTCCTCAGCACCTCGCAGACCCACCCATTAGACCCATGGCCCACATCAACCACCTATTCATGCCCATGGATAGAGAGAACAGGGAGTCTCAGCTCCTGGCTCTCTTCCCATGAGTGTCTCCTCTGAGGGCTCTGTTTTGGAGAGACACCATATCTAGCAACTGATATCCTCAGAAATTGTGAACCTGGAACTTCATGGAAGGAAAAGGAAGAGTCATTCTTGGAAAGCCCAGGAGGAATAAATAGAACCTTACCTTGAGGTGTCCCACCTTTTCTCCTCCTCTTCCTGACTCTGCTCTTATGCTAAGGGGGGAGGGGGGGAAAGAACACAAAGAGGGTCTGGCATTCAAGTCTCTCACTCCTTTCTGTAGGAAGCTGGAAACAGTCATTATCCATGAATAATATGGCATATTGATTTATATGAATAGTCAGCAAAATCAAGATAATGCCTCCATGAGATGGATTGACACAGTAGCTAGAAAACTGGGCTCAAACATACTAATGATTGAGGTTGGTGCAGAACTGGGCATTGTTTCTCTTATACATAAAAACAAAAAAAAAAAAAAACGCACTACCATCATGTCAATTCCAACTCCTAGCGACCTCCATTGAGTTTCCATGGCAGTAAATCTTTGCGGAAGTATATTGCCCTATCTTCCTTCCATGGAATAGTTGGTGAGTTTGAACCACCAATCTTCTGGTTAAAAGTCAAAATGCCTTAGGTACTGCACCATACATAAGGTCCTTGTTAATCGGAGCCAGCTCAACAGCCACTAACAATATTTTAATGAACTTCTCATTCATTCTTTTTATTCATTTTTAAAGGTGGGAAAAAAAAAATATTTATGTCTATGAGAAGCACACTTGATATTCCCAGTCAGTTGCCTTCACTCTGCTCAAGGACCAGTAGAGTCCCATCTGTGCTTCCGCAGATGGGACCCTGCATTGCAGGTCAGAGCTCAACATCAAGGAAGCCTTGGTCAAGTGACACCTGATATGGAAATGTAACTGGTGATTAAGTATTGGGACTTCCTTCTCTTGCAAAGGTCCTAAAATCTCTAAATAATCCAAACTAGGATCCTAGAATCACCATGTTTGGGATTTTACCCAGGAACTCTCTACCATACCCAGATGGTCTATGAGCTTCTGATGGAAACTTTACCTTTCTGAACCCCTACCTTTGCCCAGCGTCTTCCCCTAGAAGGATGATGATCTATCTTGTCCGCAGACTTCCTATCACAGGTGTGTGTGTGTGTGCCAACATATTTGATTTAGAAAAGTGGAAATGAAAATGGAAAACAACAACAGAGAATCTTTGTTGGGAGCTCAGCCCAGGGTTCCTTACCTTTTGGATGCCTTTGTTGTTCCACCAGGTCAGTAAATATGGCTTCCACAGTAGGTGGCATAGGAATAGAAGTAGCAACCCACACCCACACAGAAAGGTGAAGGTGGGGTCAATATCAAAGAAAGTTGAGGGGAAGCTCAGCATAGATATTCAGAAATGAGAAAAAAATCTCCATTATTCTGAATTACACTGCTGCCTCAGGCAACTGAGCCCTGAAGGTGTGCACACTGGTTTATATAGTCACAGGCCTGCATAACAAAATTGTGAAGTCACAGAAGGTTTATGATGGTGGGGACCCTCCCACCATGAGGAGGTTGCGCCCACAGCCCCTCCCCCACCATCTTGCCCCGCCCTACCCTATCATCCCATTATCAAATACCATTTTTTTAATCATATGTCTACCTTTCTGAATTTTTTCTGTTTACTCCATCTGTAACCCACATATTACCTGAGCCCTCTTTACTCTTTGGAGACTGACTTGGACCCCATCAACTTCAGCTTGAACCTCTGAAGTACTGCTTGGAATTATTCTCGTACCAGGACATGTATACTCTCAGGATCACAGAGGGACCCAGATCATCCTCCTATAGAATGTTTTTCTTCCATCAACTCAGTTGTAGAATGTTAAGTTCTTCTACACTTATTTAGTTTTGTGAATGTTCGATAGTAAATTATTTTTTTAATTCTTCATTTCTGTCAGTGCTTGTTATCTTCAATCAAAGGGGCTGACTCAAATAATTAAAGTTGTAATTAAGCTTTCAAATGACTTGGCAGGTAAGTTTATAGCACTTATTTTTCTAATGTTTGTGAAGCTTAAATTGCACACAAACTTTTGGGACACATGTTACAAAACCACATACATCCATCCTTTGATGTAACAATCTGTTATTTTCTAATCCAAGAATCAAGCATTTCCTCCTTTTATTTCAATCTTTCATTTGTTGTTTTGATCCCACTTGTTAGTCTGACAGTCCTTGCCCCCTACCTCAGTTTCCTAACAAGTATCTGACACCCTTCTCCCCCAACCCAAGGATAGATTACTGTATGCCAAGTTAATTGATGCCTCAGCCCTTGGGGTGGTGAGTGGGGTTTATGAATGCCAAAGGCTGAGGACAAAATCTTATCTTGAGCAGCCTTGCCTGATTGTCTTTATGGGCATCTAAATGTGATCTTTTTCTAGAAGTACCCAGCCATAGAGAAAGTTTGAGTAGGTCTGCTCTAAATGAGCACCCTACCTATGGCCAAAAAAATCACCCCCCTGTCACACTTTATCAGGCTTCTCTTGTCAGGCCTAATAATCCCAATATTTTCCCTCTCTATTACTACATTTTATTAACTCTATTATCATGGCAACTGTCCTCTGAAATGTCTCCTAATTTCTTATGTTTCTTAAACACACAAGGCTTTGGCTGTGAGGGGATAAGATAGACTTCCCACCAGATAGTCTCCTTTCAATTATACGGAAGCAGGTAACCTGCCTTGAGGTAAAGATTCTACTTCTTCCCCTTGATATGCAACCTCGACCAAGGTTAATAATTTAATAAATTTACTGCTGGAATTTAGGAGACAGAAGTATCTGTAGATCATGGTATCTGCCCCTCTGGACTCCTGGGGCTGATGTAGAGAGAAGTCCTACACAGTTCAAGAGTTACCCAACAAGATAACCTGGGAGAGGTCCCCAGGTAGCACTTGTTAACTGTCCAGGGCTCACTACAGATGAAGCACAGGAAAGAGATCAGAGGATGGTCAGATATTGTGTGTTGTAAGTGCTCAAACATATCATTCACTTCAGGAAGGCACCCCTGCCTGTCTTCCCTTCCCAAATTTCTGATGCTAATGAACAATTCTTTGGGAAGATGGTCAAGAACAGCTTCTTTCTTTCTACATGGCATTTGTTAGCTGCATATCCTTAAATATAATTTGTGTACCCTTAATAAAAATATGTATGAAGTTTCAATAGACTCTTTTCCAAATGCTAACGAGGTTATTCATCTGAACAAGATAGAAGCACACTCAAAATTTAAAGGAACAAGATACTAAAGCTACAAATTTTTTTTTTCTTTTGGTACTACCATGTGATAATTGGAGCTGTGTGTCAATTTGGCTGGACCACAATTCTTTGTGGTTTAAGCTGTTGTGATGTGGTTATTCCCATGATGGGATCAGATGATTATGTTTTGAGCAGCCAAGCTATTGAAAGGGAGTTTCCCTAGAGGTGTGGCCTGCTTCCAGTATATCTATGGACATCCTGGGAAAAGAGACATTCTTCTGTGGATTGGGATTCTGTTGTGCTGCCTACAACTGTCCGTTAGTGAACAATCCACCATTCGGCCTGGAGATCTTGGATTCGTCATTCATTGGAGTCAACAGCCGGAGTACTGCCTGCCAGCCTTGAGCTCCTCAGCCCCTGTGGCTGCAAGAGTCGGGAAAAGCCTCCAGCTTGATGTTTGATCCAGGAACTTTGGACTTGCCAGCTTCTGTAAGTGTGTGAGCCATTTTCCTAAGATAAAT